GATATTTCATGCAAATAGAAACCAAAAGAAAGCTGGAGTAGCAATTCTCATATCAGACAAAATAGGCTTTAAAATAAAGACTATTAGAAGAGACAAAGAAGGACACTACATAATGATCAAGGGATAGATCCAAGAAGAAGATATAACAATCGTAAATATTTATGCACCCAACATAGGAGCACCTCAATACATAAGGCAAATACTAACAGGCATAAAAGGGGAAATCGACAGCAACACATTCATAGTAGGGGACTTTAACACCCCACTTTCACCAATGGACAGATCATCCAAAATGAAAATAAATAAGGAAACACAAGCTTTAAATGATACTTTAAACAAGATGGACTTAATCGATATTTATAGGACATTCCATCCAAAAACAACAGAATACACATTTTTCTCTAGTGCTCATGGAACACTCTCCAGGACAGATCATATCTTGGGTCACAAATCAAGCCTTGGTAAATTTAGGAATATCGAAATTGTATCAAGTATCTTTTCCGACCACAACAGTATGAGACTAGATATCAATTACAGGAAAAGATCTGTAAAAAATACAAACACATGGAGGCTAAACAATACACTACTTAATAACGAAGTATTTAATAATACTTTAATAACTGAAGAAATCAAAGAGGAAATTTAAAAATACCTGGAAACAAATGACAATGGAGACACGATGACCAAAAATCTATGGGATGCAGCAAAAGCAATTCTGAGGGAAGTTTATATCAATACAATCCTACCTTAAGAAACAGGAAACATCTCGAATAAACAACCTAACCTTGCACCTAAAGCAATTAGAGAAAGAAGAACAAAAAAACCCCAAAGTTAGCAGAAGGAAAGAAATCATAAAAATCAGATCAGAAATAAATGAAAAAGAAATGAAGGAAATGATAGCAAAGATCAATAAAACTAAAAGCTGGTTCTTTGAGAAGATAAACAAAATTGATAAACCATTAGCCAGACTCATCAAAAAAAAAAGGGAGAAGACTCAAATCAATAGAGTTAGAAATGAAAAAGGAGAAGTAACAACTGACACTGCAGAGATGCAAAGGATCATGAGAGATTACTACAAGCAACTCTATGCGAATAAAATGGACAACGTGGAAGAAATGGACAAATTCTTAGAAATGCACAACCTGCCAAGACTGAATCAGGAAGAAATAGAAAATATGAACAGACCAGTCACAAGCACTGAAATTGAAACTGTGATGAAAACTCTTCCAACAAACAAAAGCCCAGGACCAGATGGCTTCACGGGCGAATTCTATCAAACATTTAGAGAAGAGCTAACACCTATCCTTCTCACACTCTTCCAAAATACAGCAGAGGGAGGAACACTCCCAAACTCATTCTACGAGGCCACCATCACCCTGATACCAAAACCAGACAAGGATGTCACAAAGAAAGAAAACTACAGGCCAATATCCCTGATGAACATAGATGCAAAAACTAAGTGTCCATCATCGGATGAATGGATAAAGAAGATGTGGCACATATATACAATGGAATATTTCTCAGCCATAAAAAGAAATGAAATTGAGCTATTTGTAATGAGGTGGATAGACCTAGAGTCTGTCATGCAGAGTGAAGTAAGTCCGAAAGAGAGAGACAAATACCGTATGCTAACACATATATATGGAATTTGAGAAAAAATTGTCATGAAGAACCTAGGGGTAAGACAGGAATAAAGACACAGACCTACTAGAGAATGGACTTGAGGATATGGGGCGGGGGAAGGGTAAGCTGTGACAAAGCGAGAGAGAGGCATGGACATATATACACTACCAAACGTAGGGTAGATAGCTAGTGGGAAGCAGCCGCATAGCACAGGGAGATCAGCTCGGTGCTTTGTGATCGCCTGGGAGGGTGGGATAGGGAGGGTGGGAGGGAGGGAGGCGCAAGAGGGAAGAGATATTGGAACATATGTATATATATAACTGATTCATTTTGTTGTAAAGCAGAAACTAACACACCATTGTAAAGCAATTATACTCCAATAAAGATGTTAAAAAAAATAAAATAAAAAATATAAATTAATAAAAGGACAGATTCTGACAAGTTCAGAGGAAAAGGGAATGGGGAGAATTTCAGAGAAGGGGGAAGTTGGGTGAGAGTGTTATCATGGGGGAATTGAGGGTATAGAGGAGTTGTGGGTGGTGTAGAAAGAAGGGGGATGATGGCATCAGAGGTGGAGTCTGGACAGGGAGAGCTGGGGAAAGAGACAGGTGGTGCTGAAGGAGGAACCAAGGGAGAAGAGCATGAGGCTTTGGGAGACATTTAATCTTTTTTCAATTGTTTGTCTCAGTTCATCTTAAAATCTTAATTTGCGGAGATACAATTTTAGACTCCCAATAATATTGGGAAGCCTCAAAATACCAATTGAAATAAGCATTTCACTCAGTTCTGGAAATTTTTAAGCTATTGTAGTCCAATTTGGTTTTAAGAAAATTGTTTGGAGATTTCATAAATTCCCCATAATGGCCATTGATTTTTTTTTTTTTTTTTTTTTTTTGTGGTACGCGGGCCTCTCACTGTTGTGGCCTCTCCCGTTGCGGAGCACAGGCTCCGGACGCGCAGGCTCAGCGGCCATGGCTCACGGGCCTAGCCGCTCCGCGGCATGTGGGATCTTCCTGGGCTGGGGCACGAACCCGTGTCCCCTGCATTGGCAGGCGGACTCTCAACCACTGCGCCACCAGGGAAGCCCCGGCCATTGATATTTTTAATTGTTGTTTGGCCAGATTGATCCATTTAGTTGCAAATGTGCACGAGGAAGGACCACTGTTTTTAAATATAAAATTGGCTGGAGTCCGGGGGGAGGGCGGAGGGCACTCTTAAAATTCTTAGGTAACTGGTATCCCATTTCTCAGATGTTTTTCTTTAGAGTGAAAGTGAGGTAGGAGGTAGATGGGCCCCAGGGCTGAGCAGCTGGGGTTTGTCAAGTGGAGTAAATCGGAGCTTTGTTTTCCCTGACACTCCAAGGACAAAATTAGTGGCAGGAGCTGAGCCCTGCTGGAGTAAAGAGATAAGACGACCCATCTATCACTCCTGAGGTCAAGGAAACCTCCCCAACTGCACATGTACAGGAAGGCTCCTTGGGGGGGTCAGAAACGGAGGGGGCACCATCCCATAGTAGGTGTTTTAAAGCCTCCCATAAGCCTCCGCTGGAATCCATCTTGGCAAAAAGATGTGTGCAAATATTGGATAGGGCCCTAAGATAGGTCAGATATGAGAAAAGAAATGAGATAATTGGCCAGAGGAGAGCAAAGACTCAGAAGAACTGCCCCTATATAAATGATTTGACTTTCTCTTTACTGTACTTCTCCTCATTGAGGACACCCACACCATTCCTCTCCAGGTGTGTATTCCTGTTTTGTTTCTGTCTAAATAAACTCTTTCTCTGTGTGCTCTCCCACATGTTGTGCTGTGTCTCTATTAATAAACTTTGTACCTGTTTTTGCGGTTTTTGCCTCCGTGAAATATTCTTGCTTTCAAATGGGGGCAAGAGCCAGGACAACTTTGCTTCTAGCCTCCAGCCCCTGGTGGTCTAGCAGATAGGATTCCTGGTTTTCATCCAGGCTACTCAGGTTCAATTCCTGGGCAGGGAACTAAGATCTTGTTTCAAGACCAGTAACTGCTGTCTCTCTGAGATCAAAGAACGATTTTCAAGCAGCTTGAAGAGCTTACAGTTCAAACAACTTGCAAGCCTAATACTGGGCAATGTTAAAAAACAGCTTGGTCCCAGAGAAGCCAGGCTAAAAGTCTTTGCAGCCAATTTCCAGAAAATAACCCCTTCCAAAGGAATAAGTCAAAGGCTAAAAAACCAACACGATTTCAGTGAAGCAAGGGATTCTTTCCCCTGTCCCAAAAGAATGGGTCTAAGGCATTTCAGCCTGCTGCAGTTGAAACAGTCTAATCTCAAAATCAGACCAAAATGCCAAACAGGTACTTTCATATAGAACAAGGACTTACCCAGAAAGACGAAACTTAAAATAGATCCCAAGTAAAGCCTACAGAGCATCAAATGCAAAGAGAGCATGAGCTCAGATCTAGAAGAAAGACATACCTTCAAACTCCAGGGTCACTGAGAAAGCAGTGAGTGATAATGGGGTCAGTTGTGTGTACCACTCCTGTTTGATCACAAGCCCAGAGCCTTTGAAGATCGTCTCTGGTCCCTGCATGGACCGCCAAGGTGTTGACCAAATAAACAAATAAATAGACAGCCAAATATTTCTCTAGGGAATATGGGTTTTTTCAGGATCAGCAGAGAATTGCAGTTCAGGGTCTGCAACCATGCAAAACAACATGCAAGTGCCCGCATGGCAAGGGAAGGAGCACACTTTTATAGAAGAAAAAGGAAGTTGGGAGGGCTATAGTAAGCAAAGAATCCATGGCTTTTCATTGGCTGAATCCTTGTGAGGAAAGAAAAGGAGTTTTTCTTCTTCCTTCTTCACGGTTGGGATCTGCTAACATTGCAAGGTGTGAGAGCTCTCCATTCTGGTCTCCCAAATTTTAATTTAATTTAATTTGGGTTTCTGGTTTATTTTTTAATAAATAAATTTATTTATTTATTTTTGGCTGTGTTGAGTATTTGTTGCTGCGCACGGGCTTTTCTCTAGTCGCAGTGAGCAGGGGCTACTCTTCGTTGCGGTGCGCGGGCTTCTCATTGCAGTGGCTTCTTTTGCTGTGGAACACGGGCTCTAGGCACGCGGGCTTCTGTAGTTGTGGCTTGCGGGCTCTAGAGTGCAGGCTCAGTAGTTGTGGTGCTTGGGCTTAGTTGCTCAGTGGCATGTGGGATCTTCCTGGACCAGGGCTCGAACCCATGTCCCCTGCATTGGCAGGCAGATTCTCAACCACTGCGTCACCAGGGAAGCCCTGGGTTTCTGTTTATTAATTTTTTTACAACAGTGATGGGAAGGCTGACACAATTCTTTAAAAGAAAAATATTTTGTGCATTTCTGTAAACCTAATGTATCTAGTATATCTACAGCTTAAAAATGAGCCTTGTAAACCCAGCCCTTGATCCTTTCTCTTTAGCTGATCCCACCCAAAGGGCAGACTGTGGCCATGAATCTGGGGATCATCTATGTATCTCTGTGGACAGTTGGTGGGCTGGTGAGTTTAAGGTAACAATCAAAACTCAAATTGATGACCTTTCCTCAAAGAATCAATTCAATCTAGAATCCCAATTATAGAAACAAAAATAGAAATGAGAACTACTGCTTTTACAAAAAAAAAGGAAAAATCTCTTTGACCCAAATATTGTGAATGTTTTGACATGAGGTTTTAGACACTATTTTAAAAATTAGTAGTTAATTTATCCAATTATGAAAATATCAATTAGAGAAAACTAGTAATCTCAAAACTTGCTTTAAATACATAGGACAAAAGTAGGAATTTGTAATACATTAATAACTTTTTGTTTATACAGACCTTAATTATTATCTCTCTGCAATACCCTTCCTTGCTATGGTTGATTCTGGCATAATGGGAATATCATCAGACAATGTCACCTTTCTGTCACCATCCAAGGATCAGATGAATTTTTGTTATAATGTTTCTAGCTGTTATTCATCCTTTCCAGATACAATGAAAAAATGGAATAAATTTTACCAGGTTTTGGCGAGTTTTTTTTTAGGGTTTTAAGTAATACTCTTCGAGAGTAGTCAAGTAAATTTTGAATAATATTTAATGTAAGATTTTTTATGCATCGAACAGTATGTTCCTGAGGAATAAAGTTCTAGTATCTAAATCTTTATTAGGATGACAACAATATTCATACAAGTAGATTACTGCATGACATCATATCTCATTAGCACCCACATTAATATGAAGACTGCCCTACCCATTCTTTTCACACCAAATAAATTATATTCAAAACCTGTAGAAATTATGTCTTCATAGTGCATGTTCATCACATTTTCAGGTCAAGTGAGCAGTAAACTCTATAAATACTACTAGGGAATAGATTGCGGTGAATTTGATCAGCTTATTTCAACTCACTTTATAAACCATCACCTGCGCTGACTAAAATGATAATCTGACAATCAGAATCAAATGTTGATGTCCAAAGTGAAGTGTCACGGGTGAGAGAGTAAATGACCAAAGATCAGGTTTCCCTTTAGAGAACTTGTTCATTATACTGCATATGATTAGGTGAAAATACTCTTATACCTCCTCCCATTTCTGACTTTTAAAACTTTGTGGAAAGTTCATTGCACAGCAAGAGAAAAACAAATAAATGAAATACTACAGTATAAAATTCTGAGCATTTCAAAACCATATGGTTTATTTCTTTCAAATGGATTCAGTAATACTAGTAATTATTATAGCTAATATTAAGCTCTTTGGGGAGAATTAAGCATTAAGTTTTTTATACTTTAACTCTTAAATGTTCTCCCCTCATTTAGAATATTGAAAAATTATATTTATAAATAGAATTGATTTTCAGAAAGAGAGATTGTTATAATTGCATAAATATTAATAACATTTTCCTTCTTGGATAGCAGATAAAGTCGTATTCTAGAAACTTTGATGACCTCTTGAAGTACTTATGGGTTGCACATGTCTCATCCTTGAAGGTTGCTCGTAAAAAATTTCACAATAGGTAAGAATGGATCTAAAGTTATTTTTTTAATCTTACACTATCTTTCTATCTTACACCATCTTTTCACTGGAATCTTTTTCAATTTACCTATATGTCAACCATCGGGAAGTATTATGATAAAGATAAAACTGATAAGAAAACATTTTACTGGATAAAACTTGAAAGTATTTTATAAGTAGGTATATTTCCAGACCAGATGATACAGACAATACAGATATAACATTATTCATTACAAATTAAAAATGAAAATTTCTTTGTCAATAAGAAGAGAAAATGGAATGTAAATTGAAAACAGTATGGAGAGTCCTCAAAATATTAAAAATAGAACTACCATATGATCCAGCAATTTCACTTCTGGGTATTTTTCGGAAAAAAAAAATGAAAACACTAATTTGAAAAAAATATATGCACCCCTCATGTTCATTGCAGCATTATTTACACTAGCCAAGACATGGAAACAACCTAAGTGTCCACCGACAGATGAATGGATAAAGAAAATGTGGTATATATACACGGTGGGATATTATTCAGCCATAAAGAAGAAGGAAATTTTGCCATTTGCAACAACATGGATGGACTTTGAGGGCATTACTCTAAGTGAAATAAGTCAGACAGAGAAAGACAAATACTGTGTGACTTCACTTATATGTAGAATCATAAAAACAAAACAAAACACAAACAAAACCCCCAAAAAACAAAAACCAAGCTCATAGACACAAAGAACAGATTGGTGGTTGCCAGAGGTGGGAGGTAGGTGAAATGCGGGAAAGGGGTCAAAATGTACAAATTTCTAGTTATAAAATAAATGTCATGAAGACATAATGTACAGCATGGTGACTATAGTTAATGGTATTGTACTGCATATATGAAAATTTCTAAGAGAGTAGATATTAAAAGTTCTCATCACAAGAAAAAAGTTTGTAACTGTGTAGGGTGACTAATGTTAACTAGACTTGTGGTGATCATCTTGCAATATACACAAATATCAAATCATTATGTTGTACAACTAAAAAAAAGAGAAAAATTGTCTGTCTAGTATATATCATTAGGAAAAAATATCAAACTACCTGAAAATCAGGAAAAATTCTCTATAGGTTATTTCATTTTTCAGTGGTTACCTGAAATGAGAATCATGTATTCTTAAAGAGATATCCAAATCCAGCAGAAATTGAAATTGCTAATCCTCTTTGATTTATATCTTTACATTTTGAAACAATGAGAGTTGGTCACATTCCAGAGTTTATGCAAGTAGAGCATGTTTTATGAAAAAGGCAAAACATTTGACTAAAAGTACATATTTTCTGGGATGATAATTTCTAGATTTAAATTCTAAGAACGTCTCTTCAAAGTTTCAAATCTAGGGGCTAAATCAATACCATGTTTTTACAGTCTGTAATCTAAAAAGTAGAATAATGTAGTTTTGAAGAAATTAGCTGTTTTGTAAGTTCAGTTGGCAAAGTTCTGAGTAGACTAATTCTAAATGCATACTCCCCCTCACTTGTCTATTAGGTTACAACATTACTCTAAACAAGAAGCAGAGTTTAAAAGCAGCAGGGCTTTGTTTGTGGATTATTTAGCTCCACCCCTCTTCCCTTCAGCTTTGATTAGAACATATGGACTCCAGAAGGGCCTGCCAACACAAATGCTTGTTAGTGGGAATAAAGCCCCCTTCATCAGTGACTTTACAGGCTTTCAGAACACAGCCCTGCTTGGTGTAAATTTTCTCCACAAAGTGTATAAGTATACAGGGAAGTGACACAAAGACTTTATTTTTTTGTAAATTCTATATGTTGTGTTGATTTCATAGGTAATGAAATATCATTAGAATCATAATTATGAATCACTACAACAGATCGTCTAAAGAAAGAAATGTTGACTTCCTGTACGTATCTGTTTCAAAGTTTTCACAATAACCTTTGTAGGCTTTTTTTTTTTTTTTTAATTTATTCTTGGCTGTGTTGGGTCTTCGTTGCTGCTTGCAGGCTTTCTCTAGTTGTGGCGAGAAGGGGCTACTCTTCGTTGCGGTGCACAGGCTTCTCAGTGCGTTGGCTTCTCGTTGTGTAGCACGGGCTCTAGGCGCATGGGCTTCAGTAGTTACAGCACGCAGTCTCAGTAGTTGCAGCGCACGTGCTCTAGGGCATGCGGACTTCAGTAGTTGTGGCACATGGGCTCAGTAGTTGTGGTGCACAGGCTTAGTTGCTCCATGGCATGTGGGATCTTCCTGGACCAGGGATCGAACCTGGGTCCCCTGCATTGGCAGGCAGATTCTTAACCACTGAGCCACCAGGGAAGTCCTCTTTGTGGGCTTATGATGGGTTTCATTTAATGGGACATATTATAGGCCCTCCCTTACTTAGCATGTCCTCTTTTCTTCGCACAAAAACAGCAGATCAGTACCACCACATTTTAGTTTGACAAGGAGATAAGAGAAACCTCTATTTATTTCTTGGACAAGTTTTGCTATTTTATTTTATTTTACTTTGTTTTAAAATGAAAAATATAATAATGATACTTGCCATGACTAGCAGAACCATGAAATAATTTTATGTGAACTTTCTTCAGCCAGTTCTACAGATTATAGACATAAAGAAAAAAATCTGATCCCCTAAATTTCTGGTTTTGGAGGAGGTATATTTCTCCAAAATTTCCAAATCCTAGGCTTACTAATAGTGGAAAACAGAAGAAATCACATAATGGTAAATTTGAAAATTACTGTATCATTCAATTTTCCAGATACTATTTACCATTTACCCTTGTTCTATTGAGGAAAAAAATATATATATATTTTTTATATATTTATATATATATATATCTAATTTCTATTCCCTAAAGCCAAATTCAGAAATAAGATATGAGTCAAAATAAAAGTGAATGCATTGTAAATTTAAAATTGTGTATGCCTTACTTAGGGTAACACGATATTTGAATAAATAAACTGAATTATAACGGCAAAACTCAATAGGATTCTATTTCTCCCTCGCATAATGATTCAGGATGTTTACTCAATTGAAAGGAGGCTTTCTTCCATGGTAATTCAGGGACTTAGGATCCTTCAATCTGTGGCTCCGTCAGTCTTTACAGCTTCACCATTGTATGCTCAGTACAAAAATCAAAAGAATTAGAGAGCTTAAAGAGAGACCCCCTTTTAAAGGCCTAGGACTAGAAGAGATAAGCATAACTATCTCACATAACTTTGGCAAAAATACAGCCCCACTGGATGGAGGATGGGAGGGACTTGGGAAAGTTCATTCTTGTCTGAGCCCCACTGATAGGGGAATCACAAAATCTGTTGAATTGCCAGTCATCTTTGCCACATTGTCAGATACAGAAAGTAAAATCTAGGCCAAGATGATTTAACAAACTTGAACTTCCCAGTATGTAAAGAATGAGGGATTAGATGAATGGTTAGAGTTTATTTCATTTAAAAATTATAAAATTTCTAAATTTTTGTAAGCTCTACTTTTACTAAAATTAGCTTTGGATTTAGTAAGGAGTTTTGAATTCACTGTAGGCTACAATAAAAAAGAAAAAGATGCAGAAAAGAAACAGTAAATTGGAACATAGTTAAACGAGTTACCTAGCTTCCTCACTTCCTCTAGTAATTGCATGCTCCCACTGATGCTCAGAATTCAGAAACCGTGCTGAAAACCTTGGCAGATATTTTTAGTTAATTCAAGTATAGACAAAATAATAAATAGAATATCATTAATCAAAATATTTTTACAGTTGAACATGTCTGGTCCATAGTTAACATATATTAAACTTTTTAACGTAATATTCAACTACATTTTTGATATAAAAAAATTTAAGATTTTTCTTTACACTAGCAACTGCACTAAATTTTCTTGTATTTTAGCCTTTATGCCATGATATTTTTGTGACTTCAAGTCTTCATTACTTTGGTATTTTAAAAAAATTATTTATTTATCTTAACCAAACTTGGGAAAAGTCATGCAAGGGAAAGTATAGTCTGCAGATTATACCACTTGCTTGCGTGGCTGCCCTGCCTTACTCTTAGTGTGGAAAAATACGGGGAAAAGAGTGATTCCTGACTCCTGAGACTTTGATGTGTAAGTTCTAACCAATCCCAGTCAAAGACCTCCTGTAGAAGAATTAAGGGTAGAGCAAGAGTCCAGGGATGTTAATGGAAATAACTGCTCATAAAATAAAGTAATGGGAAATAAATATGATTTTCCCAACAGAGAACTAGTAGAAGAAAAAAGGGCAGTAGCTCAAGCTCAAGTCTTCTGTATCCTCTTTCTTGTTCATTAACTGATCAATCCATTCTGACATATTTGGTCCACCCAAAATTCACAACCGTTACTACTTTATTTCCTAATAACATTTCATTTTATGACTATTATTTTCCTTATTTTTAAAATATATTCAACATGTCTGTTATTTAAAATTCAAACACTACAGAAAGTTATTAAATGCAAATAAAACTTACCTTCTCCATCATCATCACTTAACCTCCATACCATTATTTCTTGCCTGATATATATACTTACATATATTTAAGTTTTGGGCCCACTTCTACAAAAATAAGTATATGAACTAGTGAATATAAATACATGAGTAAATTATTTGATAAAAACTCTGTATTTGCATAAAAGAGATTATATGAATGGAACTGTTCTATGCTATATATTTTTAACTAATCATGTATATTTTAGATATTAGCAAGTTAACAAATATTAACAGACATCATTCTCTTTAAATAATACATAACTTTCCACTGAATGGATTTATATTCTTTCCAATTTTAAGCAATGCAAAGTGACATTTGATGTCTACTTTCATTAATTTAATTTGTTGGAATGGTGACAGATTAAATTGCTGGGAATGAATGTATGATCAGGTATTGCCAAATGGCAGTGAAAGAGTGTGGTATAGATTATGTTCTTATCAAAATAAAGACACACACACAAAAAACCCCACACAAACTGTCTATTAAGATTCATAATTCTGCATAGACACCAAAAATGAGTATTAGCAAACTTTAAAATTTGCAATAGTCTAATATGCAAAAAATATCACTTCACTTTTTATGGGTCTTATTCTTTTAATCACTGCTATATCCACTATTCTCTTCAGTTACGTATCTTATAAATTTGAATATGAAGGCATAACATAATTTTAAAGAGCAAAATATGTTTTATTTTAAAATGTATATGAAAACATGCTAATTTTATACTAATTCAAATTAATTTTGTTAAATTGAATTTTGTTTTAAATAATTTCATCTTTTGGGATCAAAGTTAAAATTTTACCTACAACTTTTAAATGTCTTTAAATTTTCTAGGAAAACTGTCTCTCGTTAGATGGAAAAATTTAATGAAGTTACAAGAAAACTGTTTCTAGAGATTTTGGAATTCATTCTTCATTGTCTTAACTAAATACTCCTGGAAATGTATAATAAAATAAAAATCCACAATGATAAATTTTCAAGGAACAGTGTTCTCCAATAATAACTAAAATGTTAACTGTCCAGTATAGATTCAGTTGAATAACTGGCAAATGCTGGTAAGTTAATAAAGGTAATAAAACGCTGATTGGACTTTTGGGATATTATTCTACTTAAATTAATTTCATGAAATTTAGAGGAACAGATTTTCATGGACAGTAGTCAAGAGGCAGAATATTTTAAATGAAAATCTGAATAGTGAATTTGAATTTCTAAAATGCTTAAAAATGAACTATTGGTTTAGAATGTATTACCTGATTTAGCAATGTTCTCTCTGAAAAAATTTTAAAATTATGTTCAGAATTTTTTAGTTCATATTTTATGGGATACTTCATTTTTATGGAATATTTCAGGGTCACAGAGGGCAACATTTTTCTCCTTTAAGAAGAGATAGGGCTTCCCTGGTGGTGCAGTGGTTGAGAGTCCTCCTGCCGATGCAGGGGACACGAGTTCGTGCCCCAGTCCGGGAAGATCCTACATGCCGCGGAGCGGCTAGGCCCGTGAGCCATGGCGCTGGGCCTGCGTGTCGGGAGCCTGTGCTCCGCAACGGGAGAGGCCACAACATTGAGAGGCCTGCGTACCGCAAAAAAAAAAAAAATGAGGAAGAAGGTGGTCTTTTTCCCCTCCCCACTTTTCCTTGGATTATATAAGTGTAGCCCACTAAGTTCTCAGGGCACAGCACCCTTTCGCTAGCCTGCCTGAAAGCCTCAGAAGTGTCCTATTCTAATAAAGCACTTCTTATTTATCACTTTGCCTCTCACCGAATTCTTTCTTCGCTGAGCCATAAAGAACTGGTGCCCCCCAAAACTGACCTACTTTGTTCCTTTACTCTGCCCCTATCACTGGGAAAACCGTTATATGAAAGCTTCATGTGGCTCTACAAGTCACCACCTCCTAGCCAGTGGATACTGTCTCCTACGAGAGCAACCTTGAGAAATTTGATCCTTAAGCATTCATTATCAATTGTGGACCAAAGGAGGGGAAACTTACCTAATTGCTGTACACTTGTTGTCAATGAAAACACACAAAAAAAACCCCTAACAAACTAATTATATATTCTATTTGCCAGGTCAGTTTTATGAGTTTTAAAACTTTAATTGAATGTCAGTACTTCATTTTAAAATGTTCTGGACTTTGGTTATAAATCAGCAAGACATATTGCTCTAAATTTCATGAAATCAGGTTACATAGGATAACAACAGAAGAGCCATACAAGTTTATTGTCTGTTTATTAATTTCTTAGTGATTTGTGATAGCTTAATACAATTTTCTTTAGATCCTAAACATTT